GGAGAGGGCACCCAAACACACCTTCTCCTCCAGCGTCCTAGGCTATCCCACCTGAAGGGAGCCTATCACATGTACAGAATAGTGTGAAAAGGCTACAAATAGCTCATGCACCAAACCAGCATCAATTTCCCTACTTCCTCTGGCTTCAATTTTATTTTTATTGCAGTTTTGTTCTTAACCTCTTTGCAAGCACATCACAAAACATAATTTCAATCCTACATTACATATTCAAAGTAGATACTAAGTACTACTTTAGATTTTTATACTTAAGCAAACTATCAAGTCTCCTTAGTATTATCATCTAGTAACTGTCAAGATATACAATAAATTTCAGAATATTAAGCCACACATGTTATGTTAAAAATATCACCTCTGTAGACCTTATAAGTGTAATTTTAGCACATTTGAAAACTGGAATTGGTGGCACTAAAATATCTCACAAAGTCAAGATAGCTACATTTAAAGGTTTTTGTATGATATCAGATTTAATGCTCTAAACTATATGATTTCTTAGTGTATGCTCTTTCTTGTCTAAATAAATAAATTCATTATCCATCTTGTAGAAAGTTCCAGCCTGTACAACTCCCAAGGAAGCTTTGATTATACAAATGATGTACAGATCATCAATACAGATAGAGAGACAGAGAGATAAAGATAGATATCGATAGGAATTCTAGTAATTATGGACAAGACTAATGAATTCTGATGCTCTAAACTGCCTACAACTGTCCCTTCTTTCCCTTCCATCCTCTACCCTCCTGTTTCCCCTCCTTCCAGCTTCCTCTCTTCTTACAGTTATTCATCAAAACAGGAATAATGGCTCCATCTCAGAGTGCTCACAAGTCCTGTATTTTAGGCATGATGTGGTCTGCCACATTAGAGCACAATGCACAATACAATAGAAGAAGGAAAATAAATCAAAAAAATTTCATAGAGACTATGATTAATATTATTTTACTCAAAAGTTATCACAGGTGTAACATCTGTCCACAAACGATCCTTCTTGAATTTACATGGAAAGAGTATTCACTTTCCATTTTCATTGCAGTCAAAAGCACAGAATTCCAAATGACAACCAATCTTTACTTTGTATGTAACTAGTATTAAGCCCGAGTTTATGTGTGGTCTCCCAGTTTTTAAATCCACCAATGGAAGACTCAGGACATGATCCCATAAAAGCAGCTTCTGGGAACAGTAAACCCTATGATTCCCCTCCGACTGCTGGCCGAGGTCAGTATCCCTATCATTAGCCAAGCCATAACATAATTGTATTACTGATCCTTATGTGTGGGCAGATACTGAGCAATAACTGAATGCACCACATCATTGCAAAAATGAAAACAGTGCCATGTCTTTGTACCATTTTAGCATAAAATCAGTGAAAACAGTCTTTAGAAATGACACTGCACTAAGAGACTGAAAGCTGTTATCACTCTGTAGGTATACGCTCAAACTGATGATTTGACATCTTCAACTAGAACAAAAAAAAATAGAACTATATTTTGCTACAGAACTCTAATCCAGAGCTCATTTAATCTAATTTCTTTTGGTAACATTCAGTTCAATTAAAGGATACACTGTTACTTAAAATAGTCTAATTAGATGAAACTCTGCTCTGGTACCCATCTTTCAATGTCTACAATAGAACTACGCTTTCAGTTGCAAGAAGTGAAGGCTGTTTCCTCCAGCTTGCATGCTTCTGGCCAGTCTCTGAGCTCCATTGCTCTTTCAAAAGCTGACCTACATAGAACATGCACCATGCCACCAGTTCTGGCATAAGGGAAGGGATACCTCACTCACTTGCTATAACCGACATCCTTTGCCTTGTTCCCCCAATGGGCTACGTGAAAGTGAAGGCCAGTTTGCACTGTGATATGTTCATCATGCACCGGGTTCTTACAAAGGAGCACTGGGTTAAACTGCTTCCAAATGTGCCCCCTACAGGGTTTATTAACTGAAAAATCTAAATAGTGTTTTGGCAATGTACAGAGCAGTGGGGATGGGAAGTGTCAGTGAAGTAAAACAACCACATTTCAATGCAGAAAAGCTCAGAAAAAGGATATTCATTTTCTCAATTAGGGTCTCTTCTGACACTGAGAAAAAATGCCACCGGAAAACTATATTTACAGTTGTAAGATACCAAAGCACAGAAAGTTATGGTTCCACTGAGACTTAGCACAGCAACTTTAAACAGTACAGTGTTGACAGGTTTAAAATAAAGATAATTAGTAATTTATGATCTTATCAACCTGTTAAAAACAAATAATCTAAGAAAGTGACTGTTATTTCTAATAAACAGCAATTCATTAAACCTCAGAAGGAGAATTTTGTAATCTTGTCTCTATGGAAAGTCTGATTCAGCTTGGGTTTTGCTACATATAGATACAGGTTTCTTTTTTTCACCTTTCCAAACTTCTCCCCTTCTTCTACATCTCCACACATTACTGAAGAATGTGCACTAATTGACTCAATCCCAAGCAATTCAAACAGTGGATCTAGGCAGGAATTTTATACCAATGCAAATCACGATGAGAGCAGGAAACAAGTGCCCAAGCTTTGTGGGACCTTGCAACCTTCTCAGTACATTTAATACAGTCAAGGATCAGTGACAAATATATTTGATAGACTGTGACCCAGGGATGGGCAGGAGAAGAGTCCCTGGAGAAACATTTCCATGAGGTCTTTTTCCACAAGAAGAAACAAGTCTTATGACTTTGCATTTTTAAAAATCCATTATTCTCTGTGTAAGTTAAATAGGAGACTTGCAACTAGTCTATAGAAAGGATGGCTAATTTGCATTTAAAAAGAACAGTTTGCTTCTTACACACAGGATGACTTAAAAGGAACTTCAATGAGCTAGTAAAGAAATGGTGAAGACTTTCAAAATTAATTTATTCAATTCACAGCACAACCCTCTAAAATTATTTAAGGCACTTAATTGGAAAATGATTTAATATATTGAAGTAATTCCTGATTTTCCAAAGCATTTAACTTTTAAATTAAATTTGACCCTACTTTCACAAGAATGACTAGTGAAATGTGTATTCAAGTCATTACCTTCCTTTTTGGAGGCTAAGTCACTGATAAATGTAATAAGACTTGTACAGTTTTATTGTCAAAAATGGTACTGATTTTCTTTTTATTCTGGTAGCAACTACAGAACAGGTCTTTAATCTCCAAGACAGACCTGCTACTTTAAATAAAAAAGTAATAGTATTCTTGTTATAAAGCGAAATAAAAAGTAACAAGCTTTTTATTTTTAAAAGGGTTTTAAAGTCAGAACAGATTTTAGACTGCAACAACAGCGTTGCCAGCAGAGTAAAACTTCATCGCACAAACTCCTGTGTTTACCGAAGTTCCCAGTACCTTTCAACTTGTATCTAGCTCAAGAGCTTCCTATGCGTATGAGTGTTTCTACTTTACCCCCTTCCCTAACTTCTAATCTCCTTTGCACACACCTCTTTTACTGAGTATTAAAGTGGACAAGGCACCCAGTTGCTTCTCCACGGGGGTAATGTCTGCACAACTCACAGTTCTCTCTCTCTCTCTCTCTCTCTCTCTCTCTCTCTCTCTCTCTCTCTCTCTCTCTCTGTATGTATGTATGCGTGTGTGTGTTTGTGTGTGTGTGTGTGTGTGTGTGTGTGTGCGCGCGCGCGCGCGCGTGCGCGGGTGTGTATGTGCAATAACTAAGACTGAGAGCTGAGAACTATTAGCCTGTTTCATGTTAGGGAACCCAGGGGCCAGAGGTATAGCCCACTATACACCTCTACAACACATGTAAAAGTGATGACTCCCCGGGAAACAAATGCTGGGAATCCCAACGACGTTTCCCGGGAATTCATCTACAGGTCGATGAGAAGTGCCTGAAGGGAATGGGAGAATTTGGGGGGAGGGGGGGTATCATCCAGACATAACTGGGAGTCCAAAAGGCCTGCCACGTTTTTCAGAGAACTCTCCCCACCAACCTCTGTTGGCAGGACTACTTAGACATCTCCAACAAGACCCAGGCGAGGACAGCTGTGGCCTGTGGCTGCTCCTGGGAGATGATCCCTCCGTGTTCCTCTCGGGTTTTGCATGCATGAACCCAGGAGAGTAATACTTCCCTAGAAACCCCTGACTGTCCTGTTCTTTGGCCAAGCCGATCTCTGGAGCAGCTTCGGCCAGTGTTCTCTTTCAGAGTCACCAGCATGAAACGCCTTTCTCCTGTCCCGGTGACCCTTGTACTGGTAGTCAACCGACTCGAGTGTAGCCCAGCTTCAGCCTGGGGACCAGTATCGGAGCTTTACACTTGAACGCGAAGCGCTACCTTGGCTTCCAGTAAACTTGCTATTTCCGCGCACCCCAAACGGGAGCTGTTCCCTCAAATCATAATCCGACTAGCCCTCTGAGCCCTGGGCCACAAGGGCCAGCGTCGGAACTCCGGCTCTGCTGCCGGAACAGAAAACAAAAGAGTTATAGAATAATTTTCACCGGAACGCCGGAGCCTCGGGGGTCCGGTACCCCGACTCCTGGCTGCTCCTCTGGCAAGTGACCCGGAGCAAGGAAGCGATGCCACGAGCCCCCCGCTGCCCAAGAAAGGGAGGGAGAAGAAGGAACTAGAAAATAAACTGAATTCTCCTACTCTGCCTCAGTTCCCGGACCCCAGACACACCCCCAAAGTATTCTGTGTGTTTTCTCTCTCGATCGCTCTCTCTTTTTTAATGTCTCCCGAAAAACCTAAGCAGGGATCCTTAGTGGCGAACAGCAGGAAGGAAAGAATCCAAGCAAATCGTGTCACTTTCCGCACAATCGCGTTGTTTGGCAAACCCCGGGAGCTGCTCCACAATATTTACTACCGGAGCGCACGCAGCGCTGCCGCGGGCTGCGACCGAGCGCGCCCGGGACGGGCCTCCGCGAGCCGGCCCTGTCCGCCCTGCCGGCCCCAGCGCGGCCCGGCCACCGCCGCCCCCCTCCCGGGATCGCGCCGCCAGAATCGGTGCAGACAAAAGCAGAGCGTTCACCTTGTTGCAATAGTAGGGGTCCAGGCAGGGAGAAGGTCCCAGACAGGGAGCGGCGGGAGCAGCAGCGGGCTGGGCTGGAGGTGGATAAAATCTTACGTCCATTTCACTCTCACATCAAGCAACTCCTTTTCTTTTCCTTTTTGAAAAAAAAAAAAAAAAAGTGCTCAGCAAAAAACAAGCTTAGACGGAACAGAGAGAGGCGTCTGGGCTCAGGAGTAAAAGAAACACCTTCCTTCCCTCACATCCGTTTGTGGTTTGTTTAAGAAGAGAGAAAAAAAAAAAAGAAAAAGAAAAAAGAGAGGAAAAAAAATAGAGGGTGGAAAAGCGCTCAACTCTCCTCCCGAAGCCGCGGCGCGCACCCGTCCACGCCGAGCGCGCAGCCTGCCTGGTCCGCTGGGCCCCAGCGCTCTCGGCCCCGCCGCTGCCGGGCAGGTAACTTCACGCGCTCATTGTCCCCCCCGCCCGCCGCCCCATCCCCGCCTCCCGCGCCCCTCGCTGCCCGGCACTCGCGCTCGGGCTCGAGGTACTGGGCGTTTTATTGGAGACTCTGCCTTGCACTGCTTTTAGTTTTTCTCCACGTTAGAGGCCTGGGATGGGGAAGTGGGGGGAATCCAGGAGAAGATAAGGACCGAGGAGACTAGCGCCCCGGGACGGGCGGGGGTGCCGACAGCGGCGGGACGTGGCCCAAAGGCTGCTGTTTGGGCCAGGGACCGGGCCAGGGAGGAGCGCAGGGTGCGGAGGAGGGGAGCGCTGCCCAAGCAGACGTGGCGGGACCCCGGGCAGCGTCCGCGGGTCCCCAGTCACCACCTCCGGGTGGGTGCTGTGGAGGTGGATAAAATCACACAAAGGGGCTGCAGAGTCGGAGCACGGGCTGACTGGGGCACCGCGGGGAGCGCGCAGCAAGGGGGCGCTGTGGCGCACCCCGCCCAGCACCCCTCAGCCCCTCCCCTCGCCCCACCCTTTCTCTGAGCCCCCTACCACTTACTCCTGCCCGGAGAGGCTGTATTGCCATCCTCTGCTCCCCGCGGGAGGTGGAGGGTTGTGTACTGAGTGGTGCTGCTCCGGGTTCTGCCGGGAGCGCGACCTCTGCGAGATGTGAGTGGGCAGCTGTCCAAGGGACCCTAGTTGATCTCAGGGCAAGAAGCAATGCTCCTGGGGTTGGTGCTCAGAGGGCTCTGCGTCCTGCCTCCATACCCTGCAGGAGGGTTTTCAGAGGCAGAGCCTGCTTTGGGTACTCACTAAAAGACCCCAGGGGTGCTTGGAAGGGTAAATAAGGAAACAGTTATCAGCACACCATGAACTACAGGGAACACATCTGGGTTTTTTGGTTGTCTTTTGGAGTTCTTTCATGGTAGGACTCCCAATAGTACTCTTGGAGCCCTCACCCCCACCCCCACCCCACCCTCCACGACCTGCAGCCCTCTTCCCATTTTTCTCTCAGTCAGCGGGATAAGGATATCATCAATATTTTACATTACTTCGCCAAACCCAAAACTTGCAGTTGTGTGTCCCCTGGCATCTGGGAGAGTTTTGGGGCCCTTGGTCACTGTCCAGCGGGCACCCTCTACTCCCGGAAAAAGTCTTCAGAAGGAAGTCAAAGTGGGAATGGGCAATGTTTACCTTTCAAGAGTAAGTTCCTCACTGCCACACACCTTTGGTGCCTAAGACCCTGCAAGGAAGCCCAAAGCTCGTCTCCACAAGTTTCTGGAGCCAAAGAATATATGGCAACCGTCTTGCTGTCCCCATACCCTTTTAGAACATGGTGGGTAGCTAGTCACTCTCTAGCTCTCTACCACTTTCTCCAGATCTCTCCCCCCACCCCCCATAATTACAAGCACCAGTCAAATGCAAAGACCAGGAAACTATCAATGCCATGTAAGGATGATGATTTAGCATCCGTGGGTCTCTCCTCTTGGCAAAGGCCTTGGGGAACCTATCTTCAGACATTGCTCTCCACCCCGTTGCAGCCTCTTTTCTCTTAAGCTTCTATCTTATTTTTACAGATAGCAAGAACACAGTTTCTTACCTCCAGACTAGTGTAGTGGAAGTTGAGATGAGAAAAAGAAGACAGGAAGGCTTTCACTCTGAGTTTAAACCCTTTGAGTCACAAAATAAGAGCCAGAAAGTGTCATCTTTCCTGGAATAGAGGTCTTTATAATAAAATTTATGGCGAAGTTTTGTGGTTCATAACATTGACTTTAAAATTCATTTGTAGATGTTAAAATGTGTGTGTGTCCTCCCAGGATAATAAAAGTTTTTAGGTTTAAATGAAACATATCTAAGTTTATCTAAGCTTAACTTTCTGTCATCAACAGATATTATCAACAAATGATATGTAAAGTTTTAGCTTTACAAACTTTCTTAGGATTCATTATTAATTTCTGTTTGGCCCTGTGAACTCCAGAAAAACGGACAGGCTTGCAGCTGGAATGGTGTTACTGTGGGGGTCCTAATATTTTGGACATACTGGATGTGCTATACCCACTTCTTTCCACTACCCACATGCTAGGGACCTGTGTGTCACCCCTGCAAACAATTAACAGTCGGAAGTGTGTGGAGTCACAGTGGATTACTTGAGCTTTGCATGGGAAGGAATTTGAGCTATTGGGATGATTTAAACACCCGAGCATGGTCATCTCAATATAATAATTAAGAATACCCACAACTTTATAACATTCTCCCCAAGGTCTACAATATACTGAATGGTAATATTCTATTCCACTGAAGGGAAATTTGAATAGCTACACCTTGGAGTGAATATTACTTTAAAAATGAAATAGTTCTCTTCATAGTATGTTAAGATTCTCATTTATTTCTCCAGTCCATTTATGTATATAGTTCTAAGCAAAGACAGAGAGACATACAAAGCTTTATATGGCTTTGGAAAACAAAACACCACTTAAAATTGGGCATAGCAGGGACTTACTTAGACATCCATCAAGGGGTAAACGGATAATGGAAATATGGCTCTTGTACACATTTGAAATCTGTGCAGCTGTAAAGTAAAAATGAAATCAATAAATTTTCAGGAAAATATATGGAACTAGAAAGCATTGTAGTGAGTTAACTCAACAAGACAAAAACCACTTATTTTCTGTCATGTAGACCCTAGCTTATAGTAGTCATATATAGGTATAAAAGCCAGAGTGAGCATGTATACAGCCTATGAAACTAGAAAGGAAAGTAGGAGATGGGACTAAGAGGTGCTGAGGAAGTTGGAAGGGGGATAGAACACAGGAGACAGGAAAACTGAAAAGACAGTAAGTGGGTACAGCGGAAGGGTACAAGGAAGGAAGGTCAGAGAGATGGGAAGAATGGATAAAAACACATTTTATTTGAAAATGCCACAATGAAATTTAATACTGTATTATATGCTAGTTAAAAATAAGTCAGAAAAAAAAGAGGTGAAGGCAAAGGGATCAAAAACTTCAAGGTCACTTTCAGCTACACAGAAAGTTGGAGGCTAGCCTGGGATACAAAAGTCCTTGCCTCAAATAAAATAAGTAAACAAAGAAAATTATGATGTAAAATAGAGCACACTGCTGAAAATGGTTCCTGCTCTAGAGGAGTTACAGTTTAGAATCATCTTTTCCAGATGTGTTGGGTCTGTGAAGTCATCCCAACTGCTTCAAAAGTGCTCATGCTTGGCCACCAGCCCCATGAATTCTGGGTCCATTCATTTAGAGATGGGCCTGGTCTAGAGAATGGTTAAAAGTTCTCGCCTGGCTTCAATCTTCGGGAAAGATGGAAGCCACTGATGCTAAGATGAGCACACAGGAAATGGTAAGAGCAGGTCACTAGTAAGAAATGTTACTAGATATGCAAGGTTGTCCTTTGTGTTGGTCCTCAGATACCATGGAGGATTACCACTATAGGATACCTTCATGTGCCCTGCCCATCCGGAGGTGGAGCTTCAGCATTCCCTCAGTCTCTCTAAGTGAGCATTATGAACTATAATGTGTTCCTCCAGGTTACAAGTCTTCACTGGGATTAGGAACTTTACATAGTCTAAGAGGAAATGTTTGTCCATGAGCAAGGCCTCTTCTTGCTAATTTTAGTGTCATAAGACCAATACTTGGACTTGTAAAACACCTACTATATCTTAGAGCAGATATAGTATTTTTACTAAATATTTTTACATTTAGTTTCATGGTCTCATTTAATTTGATAATCATATAAATTACATTGGAAAGCCTAGCCAAAACATAGCCAGCATTTGATTTTGCTGTTTCAATGTCTCCCGAGTTAATATTAATTATTATTATTTTAATAAACTGTTATTTATTAATTATTATTATTTTAATAAACTGTTATTTATTAATTATTATTATTATTTTATAAACTGTTTTGTCTTCAAATTTGCAGACATTTGCACTGACTACATTTTGCGTTTACTGATCCTTTCTATTATGTACACAAGCCCTGAATCTTACAGGAATTTCTCCAAATCACATACAAGCAAGGTAGACTTTGGGGAAAATATCTTCTAGACAGCAAATCCTATCTGTGATTTATGAAAATTTTATAAAAATCATTCCATAGAAAATTGTACTTCCTGCTCAGCATTTTTTTCTTGGAGTTTGCAGTTTCTCTTCAAGGATAGAAGTCCTCTGCAGATAGACTATCAAAATAAACCATCACATAGAGGGACTAGCTGTGTAAAGCTAGGCATTAAAACCCAAGTTCCACTGAGCTGAATTACATAACTAAATTAGGACTCAGTCCTTTACTGGTGTCTTCTAGATATAAGGATGAGAGATTCAGGGCTAGATGATTCAGCATCTTTTCAGTAGAAGACAGCCCACTGCACTTTAAAAGCCCTGTATTTGGCCCCTTTGTACGGCTCCTTGTAAAGCACGTTAATACAGGTGTGCTCAGATTTGCCTTCCCATAGACATTATGGAAGAAGTTCTGTGTTTATTTCATGAGAATCTTAATCAACACTCAGTTCTTACATTTCAAGGATCTCAAAAACATCATTAATGGTTTTGATGGGAACCTTTACATTTTCTCAATTTCCTGGTTAGAACCACTGCTGTCCAGGGTTATTTAACATTTTTTTCTAAAGTAATTTAAATGTAAACTAGAATGATGTGCAATAAGTAATATCTTACAGTGGAGGAACAGAAAGCACTGAAGTTTATTTCCTGGGGAGACGAGGGAGAAATGACTCGATTGTAAGTCCTTCAACCAGAAAATAAAGGATTTCAGAATGATGAGGAAAGTTTGAAGGAAATGCTACTGGGTGCACAGACACCTCACATGGCACTAAATGACTCATAAAATGCAGTATTTCTTACATAATATGGGAAGTGTGCCATGCATGTACATCTCACCATCGAGTGTGGTACAGTACTTTGATCTTCAACAATATACAACATTTGAGGCATAATATCGGTAATAGGACTATTCAGCTCTTTTACACTGCAATAATCCAGTTCTCTCTCATCGG